TATTATTTATTATTTACCATTTAATATATAATATTTATTATATTTGCTTTATTATATATTATTATTATATATTATTTATTATTTATTATATATTCTTTTTTATATATTTTTTATTATATATTATTTATTATATATTATTAATTATTAATTATTTAATATATATTATTTAAAATACACTATTTATTATATATTATTTATTTTATAATATATAATATGTATTATATCAAAAATAATATATAATAAAGGGTATATAATAAGCGCTATATATTAAGCGATATATAATAAATAATATATGATAAATGGTATATATTAAATAATAAACGATAAATATAAAATGTTAAATAGTATATTATAAGTAATAATAATAAAAAATATTTAATGAATAATATATAATAAATAGTATATGATGAATAATATATAATAAATAGTGTATGATAAGCGGAATATAATGAGTAGTATATAATAAATAGTATATTAATAAATAATATATAATAAATAGTATATAAAGAATAGTGTATTAATAAATAATATATAATAAGTAGTATATAATAAGTAGTGTATAATAAATAATTGTATAATAAATAGTATATAATGAGTAGTATATTAATAAATAGTAATAATATATTAATAAATAATAATATATTAATAAATAATAATATATTAATAAATGGTAGTGTATTAATAAGTAATAATAAATTAATAAGCGGTAATGTATTAATGAATAATAGTATATTAATAAATAGTAGTGTATTAATAAATAGTGTATTAACGAATTCTATATAAACAATTCTTGAATATCCGTAATACGTAAATTTTGTACACTAAATTTCCTTTAACTATATAATATTCAAATATTAATTATTGAAAAATATACATATGTATATATCAAATGTGTCAATATAGATATTGACAATTACAATTTTGGCGGATTTTCGCCATTCAACTCCACGCCGGTCTTGTTTGTATTTGACCTCGCCAGAAAAGCCGCTGAAATACGTCAATTTCCGCGAATGAACAAGAGGCCAAAGCTTGAGCTGGAAAAGAAACGTGCGAACACCGAAAAATCTTTTGCTGGGGTCAAGGAAGAGCCGTGTTGTGACACGTTTTCTGAGGGATTGGAATTCTGCACGCAGCCCTGAGTGGGTCCCAACACCGAGGCAGATCGCTGTTAGGTTGGAGGCGATCGCTATTTTGCTCATTTGACTCAGTTTGCTCTTAGTGGCGCTGCCAATTTGCAAGGTACAATGAGCTGGGCCACCACGCCGACTTCCCCGAAGGCAGGCAACACTGGGCCAGTGTAGACCTGGCGGCTTCGCAGCTTCGCATTGGGTTCTCCGGTTTGGAGCTCCGGTGTCATGACATCGTCGAAAAGACTCGACGCAACGTTAAGTCAATCTTTGCCAGCCAGGCAATGGAAAGTTGATTTTTATTATTTTTTCATTTAGATCTTCACTTAGATCATCATTTTTTTTACAAAATATTTTTGTTTTATTTTCATTTATTTTGGGATTATCATTTTTTTTGCGTCATGTTCATCCTTCCAGAACTGGTTGGCTTTGCTGTCATTTTTATGGGCTTCCAAAATCACTTCAGTCACAGTCAGCGCCTCAAACTATGTATAAATGCGTGAAGGGATTCCCTCACCCATCCCTTCCCGAGCAATCGAAACCAAGGATCAAAATCATGGAATGCAACTTGCAAGCTGCTGAGCTAAACCACTGGGCCCCAAAAGCCTGAGCCTAGTGGCCTAGTGGCCTAAAAATTTGTCATACAGGAATGGGAAGTAAAACAGGTTAGTGAAGAGACAGCCCTGAATGAAAACTAAAAAAGCACACGAAATTGTCAGAAACAATATAAACAGTATGACCCAAATGAAGACCAAAATGACAGATGAGAAGAAAATTATTTACCAAATGAAAACCAACATCACAAATTAAATAAATGATGAACCAAATGAACACCAAAATGACAAATGAGGAAGCAAATGAAAACCAAAATGCCACACGAAAAATAAAGAAAAAGGGAAAAAATACATGAAAAGCAAAAACGAAACGAAAAAAAACGAAAAAAACATGAAAAAAGAAACGAAAAATAAATGAAAAGCAAAAACGAAACGAAAAAAAACGAAAAAAACATGAAAATTTTTGTTCTCTCAAAAATTGCAATTTTCCTCGATTTTTTTTCATTTTTTTTCGTTTTTTTTTCGTTTTGGCTAGTTTGCGGCACAAATCAACGATAGTCAGGTCCATTTCACAAAAGCTAAAGCAAAATAGAAGGACATGTGTGATCCACCAGCAAAGAGGGTTCAGGACTAGCTCACTTGGCCGCTTTCCTTCAGGGGAGGCAATTGCAATTGAGCTCCAGCATTCTTTTGTCTTTCATGATCGCTTTGGCTAGTTTCGGCCACACATTGGCAACATTGTAATTTAATTCATGTGTTCATGTATATAATTTAGTCTGTTCACGTTGTTTTAAGTTCAGATAGTTTCGGCAACACGTGAACGACAGTTTAAGTACATTTCACAACAGCTAAAGCAAAATAGAAGAAAGTGACTAGCCGACCAGGGTAGCAGCGGGTAGCAAAGAGGGTTCAGGAGTAAGTGACTTGGCAGCCTTAGCTTCAGGGGACGCAAACGATAAACGCAATCACGCATGAAAAAGCACCGGTGGGCGTGTAAAAAAAATGATGATGCAAACGAAAACACACATTTACATGAAAAAAATACACAAATGGGCATGAAAAAAAATGATGATGAAAACGAAAACGAAATGAAAAAATAAATGTTTTGTCCACCCCCAGTCTGTGGCTGTAAGATTCTCATAAACGCAACGATTCCAACTCTCAGGCGTCTGACCAGGGGCCAAACAAAAGACACACCCAAAAGGCATGGTCCATCCTGGATGATCCGAAGCGATAATTACTCTTCGGAAGCCCATGAACTGCGCCCGAAGTAAGGAGGGACCCCTTTGGTATCTGGGGCTTTCCAGGAGTTCTCCCAAAGCACTCCCAACTGAGAGGGCAATTGAGGGATCTTCGAAAGCGCCGCCGCTCCGGCCTTCACCAACTTCGCCTCCTTCCGCTGCCGTGCGCCTCAAGCCACACATCCGGCGGCGTCCGCGTCATACCGGGACCAGGGGCGAACGGAAGGGACGTCTCCTAAAGATTTTAGGCAGTCGATCAGAATTCATCAACATCTAATATATCGTATAATAGACACAAAAACACACAAATCAATGATATTTCCTTGAAGTTCCCATAGTTTCCACTGCCTCTGAGCTCCTCCCGCAAGGAGTCCGTGCACTTTGGGGCCGGCGAAGGCACCTCCTGCAAAGGAGTCCGGCAATGGTGTTCGTGGCTTGCCTGTAGCTCAAGAAAAAACTAATGGAAATGGAAACACATATTATTATGCCTTGTTCCATTTCCAATGTTCTTTCATGACAAAAAACATCCTGAAAGACTGCAAATCCGGTTCATTCCTTGGTTGTCGGTGCCCAAAAAAAGAAACTGAGTCTGGATGGTGTCCTTTTGCCTCCACGAAACCGGACCCAGAGCCCAAAGAGGACTGACCTTCATTCCTTGCGTTTGCCATCTTCGGCCAACCTCTTGAACCCAACAGGACCCATAACCATCAAATTTCAAGATTGAGGGAATCCGGCGTACAAATACCGTGGAAGATTCACAAACAACGTCCCCCCACCTGGCACTGAAAATCACTCTCCTCCAAGGCGATTTACTAGTAATTTCGGTTGGAACCATCCCACCCACCCCTCTTCTTTAAGAAGACTCTGAAATCCTTGCTCCAGAAACGCTCCTCGCCTGCGCAGTCGACGGAGTCGAACACATGGGACATGGGGCGAGTCTCACCTTCCTTGGGCGCGGAACTCGCACGGAGCTCACGCCTCGGTGAGTGCACAGGGTCCAGAGTCGGTCCATGTAAGTGAACAATGTTGGCGAATCGATGGGTGGCCGTTCATGCGATGCTTTGGCGATGCCAAATGGCATCCAAACCCATGTCCGACAGAACGGGAATCATGGAGGGATCAGTGCCAGGTACGATTGTTTCCCACACTTGGTTGTACACGACCCGGGGGTATCCCATAAGTCAACCAGCCAAAGGTATGAAAGGCCATGTAAGACCCAAACTGGACGGGGGAGGCGCCTTGTCCACACGCCCAGCTAATGAAATTATATATAAGGTGAATGTAGATAAATAATGATAAATAGGTATTTAAAACATGGATTGTTTGGGGTATCATATCAATCAAATCATATGAGCGGTGTCAAAAAACCGGTCTACGATACTCATGACTTGCTTCCGCCAATGCTTGCGCGGAGCTTCCGCGACCTGCGTTTTGGCTTCCGCAAGCTTCAACGACTGCAGTTTTGGCTTCCGCGGGCAAGTTGGAGTTTACAAGTTTGCTTAAACTGCATGTTTGTGGGAGGTTTTTGACGCTGCTCATATCGATATCCCTTCCACAGTGGTGTATTTCAAGGGTATTGAACCAGTCTTGCTGATTCTCCGTGGTACCAATGGCCTTTTGGGCAGGACATGAATTCGCGAAGAAGCACCGACCCCATTGCTTCCAAATGGCCCGCAGAAGGAGGTCGCTGGGATGGATCCTGTCGCAGGTGAACGCCCGCCGTGGCTCAGTGGAGGCGGTTCACACGGTTCGCGCATCAACGTGCACTGAGGTCGTAGCCGTTCGACGCAAAGGACGCCAGAAAGGTCAAAGGCGGTGGTCAGATCAACAGAAAGGTCTCCACCAGGAGATCCTTCTAGCCTTCATGGGTGATTGGTGGTAGGGATGTCCAACCATTGGTGGTAGGGTCCCAGCATCAACCCTTGGACTCTGGGCAATCATCTCCTACAAAAACTATTGGTGGGTAACGGGTGCACCCGTGCGCGCCCACTCAGAATATGATTCATCCTATTGCAAGAATCCGACCGCACGTCCCGACCTGCCAGCTCGCACGTCCCGACGCGGGTCTCCGGCTTCCCCGATGACAGCCGCCTTGACTTTCGCATCCTTTGGATTCGAGGCGTTCGCATCCTTTGGAGCTGGCCTCTCCTGCATGTTCTGGGCTCTCAATTGGTCACAGGAGAAAATCTTGGGGCAGCTCGCTCTTCGGTTTGCCCATCTGCAAGCTGACTGCCCCAGTAAGCACTACAAGAAGGGCATCTGCAAGCAGGGGATCGATCGAAACTAGGATTTGGGGACTGGTCGTTTGATTGCTATTCTATCTGTGGCAGGCACCACGAGTACAAATTGGATGGAATCCGGAGTTAAGCCTTTTGAACTCCAGATTCCATCCAATTTCATCTTGCTCGAGACGCGTAAGAAACGTATTTATGTTTCTTGTGGGTTACGATTGAGAGAACTCGACTGACCATTGAAATAGGAACCAAAGGGTGGTTTGTGGAGATATATATAGTAGTACTATAGTCAAATTCCTTCACGCCATTTCACGCCCCTACTGCTTCAACATCTGGATGCAGGCTTGTGCACCATGCCAAAAGACACAGACCACTAAAATGCACTCACCGGCTACATTCCGTCACATGAGTATCATATCAATAACATTCATATATAATTCATCTCAGAATCTCATAATTGCAAAAAAAATAAGTCACAAAAGTGACATAATTTAGCAGCAAGAAGAAGGCAAGAGGAGATAAATTGGCCGTTGGCCCAAGAGGCTCAAATTGACCCTGGCTCCATCTTGGCTCGGTTGACAACATTGATATCCCGCAATCTCGTGAAAACATCCCACCGTGGGCTTGCCTGCTCCCAATTTCACCAAACATAAAGTACATGGAGAAACTGGATTCCACCAGAAAAAACGTTGCTGTCAAATATGGCTTTGATTGAGGAATCCAAAGCGGCCCGCAAGTCCGGTGCGCTTCCGTAAATCCTGGGAGTGTTGGGCTTCACATGCTTTCAACCCAGTGGAAACCAAAGCAAATGGCGCACACCAAATGTCTTAGACAAATGGGGGTCCATCTACTAGACCTGATGGGGAGTGTGCCATCTACTCTGAAGTCTAAATCTATCAAAAACCGCAGCACCCCTTCTGCACCTGGCGCAAACGGCTGCCTGGAGGGCCATCCTGGACGAGAAAGGCCAGGCATGGTTTCGGCCGTGACCTCCTAGTACCCACCTAAACAGTTGAAGTTGGCGAGCTTGAGACGCATGGTTCAGATTGTGTGTGTGCGTGCTCTAGTCGAACATTCCATGCGACTACGTAGCATACAAAAATATATATATATATATATTAAATTTACATATTATATCATATTATGTACATAGATGTTACATGGGGGCTGTAAAGGGCACCACTGCACATCGTTTTGAGTCAATATACTTTTCTCTTGTCCAACCTAATCTGTTCCGTTTGGTGAGCCATTTCAGGAGTCCACCTCCTCTGTGGCAGCCTAGGGAATGTTGATGATTGCTCAAAAGAGAGTTGAGTCCACACAGGTGTTGGTGTTTTTACTTGAGTTGTCATTGGTTTTGGATTGGCATCCCATTTTGGGGCCGACTTTTTCAACAGTAATCACACAAGCCTTAGCCTAGCTTTTGTAGGTCTATATTTTGTAGTGAGTTTGATAGAACAAATGTCGGAGTTCTGAGAACCTTTCCCGAAGACTGTGCCCAACCAGTGTTTGACTGGAGGTCAAGCACTGAGCCTTTGCTGACTGTGCTGTTGACTGTTGATGAACGGGGGAGTTTCTGAATCCAAAGACCCCATGATGCCCCCTATCGGGCATCCGAGCCCTCCGCAGCTTCAACCCTCGCAAAACCCTCCTCAGGATTGCGAGCTGGGCTAGCCTAGGTCGGACCAGGGCGGGTCGCAAGGAGCATGGCCGACCTTGCCTTTCATGGCTCAACCATAGTGGTACCCTTGACTCTCTTGGTCTTTATCTGCAGGTCCCGGGCGATCTCCGCCTTCTTGGGCGTCAATACTAGGGATGGCCAACATGAACTGCTCACTCCAGGACGTTTTAGCGAATTCGTCCATCTCCTATCAGCGGTCCAGTCGGTCTTCCGGTTCCGTCTTTCAGCGGTCAGGCGGGAGAGTTCTTGGGATTGGTGTGTTCATCTCGGGTCATTGCAGGTCATCCAAGGAAGATCGAAGAACTTTCTGTGGCATTTCTATGAATTTGTGTTGTAAGAATCGGCCGAAGAGGGGCTGTGCTTGAAGTTGCTATCCAAACACTAACCGCCTCTGTTTGACTAACCCCGGTGTCTCTACGTTGTGGTTCTGCGTCTCGCTGCGTCTCCGCCCCGGCTCGCCTCGGCGGGACTCCTTCGCCGCGGAGGGCTCACCACCTGAAGTCATCGGGCATTGCAAGGATGGAAGCACTTCTCTATCCCAGACGCTCCATGGGACTGCCATATATGCCGAGCAACGGCCAGGGGTGGTTGACTGGGGGGTCAATGTAGGCATATATATGGCATACATGGAGTGTCTGGGTATAATGGAAACACACCCATTCCGATGAGCTGGTTCAACGAGTTCGTGCTTTGAGACTTAACAGGTGTTCCATTCAGGTCTTATCAGTTTGCCCCATCCAAAAAGCTTTGGAAGCCGGTAGAGGAAGGTGGAAAATTCCGCCCAACAAATCGACGCAACATTTCTAGGAAGTTCAAAACTCTTGAGCCAGGAGGGTTATTGCAAGAGTTTGGAGTGGGGCATGCGGTATGGTAAGATTACCATACCCCTCACCCCATGGTTTCCTGATCTTTCCTGACAGTTCCCCATGCCCAAAACCTCTCGACCCTGCCTCGCCCTTCGGGCTGGGCTTTAGTCTCCGTGGTCCGCCATCCTGGTCACATCACAGCTCCCGGTGCTGGCACAGCGCCGCTGGTGCTGGGTGTAGACGGCTCTAGAGCATGTGTATAATATACACCTGAAGACTTTTATGGCTCCCTTTTGTACATCTTTTCCGAGTCAAGGGCACTCTCCTGTGATGATCTGTGATGTTTTTTTTTCTCTGTGGAAGACCAAAGGCAGGAGAGGAGGTAAACAAACAGTATCAAATATGTGTGAATACAGCGCAATTCTAGCAGCTAGCACTTGCCCAAACACTCCATGCATGGCATATTTGCCTATGTTGAGGTGTTTTCAAAGGTCAACATGGAGTCTGGCGTACCTTGATGGCAACTGTCATCCCGCAGTGACAAGGGGGTAAAAGTGGCCCCGACAAGCCCCACTTGCTAAGGCCACACTGTGCCCTTCAGAAAAAGTAAAGTATATTTGGCAGCGGGTCAAAACCTGGAGCTCCAAACCCTGTTACGTTGACCTCCCTGGCATTCATTTTTGCGGCCTGTTTTTGACCCACAGCCACAACATATTTTCCTTATCATGATGCTTGCCAGAATGTCCTTAGGGAGTTATGGTAAAATTGGAAAAACGGTTATATTACATATCCGTATGAAACTGCAGTGCACCACCAGCTTTGACATGCTGCACTATGCGAGGGAGAAGAAACCAACTGGCCCAAAATACGCCCAGCTCCATTGAACGGAGGATTCTGGGTGCAAAAAACATGTCATCCTAGGTGGGGAAGTCCTCCCGGTTTGCAGCTGTCGTCCAAGGTCACCGCGAGTTGGGATTGCATCAATCTCTTCAGGTCAAAGAAGTCCTGGCAAGTGCTGGAGTTCTACCTGGCCCATCTCCAGGGCCCCATTTCCATCAGCTGGCACGACCAGCGTCCTTCCCCGTAGCTTTCACCTGATATCACTTGATCATCGATGTTGGAACGGCGTCCAACTGCTTGATCATCCCTGTTTCCACCTCCGCGCACCGGTGCGGACCCGTGGTCGATAGTGACCGTGTAGACCGGTCTTCACCGGTCGTGCTTCCGGAAGTCTGGGAGTGGTCCATGAACTTACTCACGCCTGAGCCACATCTTTTTGGTCGTCACTGCTTCAAAAAAGCGAGCACGCTTGCGTGCACAGCCCCTCTACTTGAAAGTGTCTTTGTCAGGGTGATTGGAGCGTCTCGTCTGTAGCAATTCTTGCCTTCGTCAGTTGTAGCAACTCTTGATGGCCAACAAGTCGCAAGGACATGCCATCGTTCGACTCAGACAGGCTCCTCGAAGAACATGGGGCAGTTTCGGCGTTGTCAGGCCCTTGGTGATGGTGCCCACTGCGAGGGCCAGCGTTGTGAGACCATCGCAGAAAGCACCCATTAGGCACCAATGCCACACGCACGGTACCTTGAGTACGTGCAAGCTCCGGATTTCTGGCATCCAGACTTGTGAGTGACTAGAGGGAAATGCTTGAGCAGTTCAGACTTTCAGGATATGGCAGCCCTACTGGTAGCCCTCTCTTGCATAGAGCAAATCATTGAAACACCCGCTGAAGCCTTCAACTTTTATGAGGGAGTGTCATATCATGTCATATCATAGGGAAGCCTTTTCGACTTATATCATTCTGATCACAAAAACACAACAAACATCACCGGAATCAACCACACAAAGGCAAGGAGCTTGATGACGAGTCGCACGGAAAGGATCACTACCTAATTATGATTCCTTGATGTCTGGTGTTGTGCGATGCCCTTACCACGCGACATGAGAAAATCTCTTCCAAGCAGCAGTAAAGACCTCAGCTTGTTTTCGATTCATTGTTTGTTGATCCATTTGGGCACGCGCGTGACCTGTCATCAGGTCATGCCACTTAGTCCTGCGGGAGCAAAGCTCATCCCCTCCTCGGGGATCAGTTCTTTCCTCGAAGCTTTGTCCCATGTCCCGCCAGCCGGCTTCGCTTCGAGCAAAGCTGTCACCCGCATTGCCAGACATCCATTGCTTTGGAAACATCCTTCTGGTTGATGAAGTCCATCGTCTGGAGCAGAGTCATAGCTTCCCTGCGGTCGCGCACCTCTTTGAACCCTGCAGCACCGGAAATGACAAACTCTGTGAGTTCGATGTCCCTGAGTTGGCTTGTCTTGATGATCCCACCTGTCATGAGCTTCTGGCGAAGGCCATTGATGAAATTGGCTGCCAGTGCGCCAGGATGCTTTGCCGCAAAAATCAGCAGATCTGAGCGCTTCTTGAACCGTCTCGTGTCGACCTTGTTCATGGCCACAGCATCCACCTTTCTGCTTTTGCCATGCGGCTTCCACCTCACATAGCTTGATCCCGAAGAAGTCTCCGATGAGGCACTCGAGCTGGAGCCGGACTGGCTTCGCTTCTTCTTTTTGCTCTTCTTCTTGTTCTTCCTGTCGGCTCGGCTGGAACTGCGACTGCGCGACTTCTTCTTCTTCTTCTTCTTCTTCTTCTTGGACTTCGAAGAACCCTTGTTCTCTTGGAGCTCGTTCCTGATGGCATTTTCTACATCCGCAAGCTGCTTCAGTTGCATGGAGTCGCTGGACTCTGGTGGACCCAGGGCCCCATCTGAGCTGCCTGCCTGCAAGGCTGGCTGCTGGGCTCCCGCCCCTGGAAACCAGCACAAAGCAGCCTGCTTCCATACTGGGTCTGGAGGTTAGTTAGTGCAGAACGGTCTTCAACACACTTCGAAAGAGGTGACTTGCCCTCCAAGTGATCCGACTCAAAGTTTGATCTACCGGAATTCGAAGCTCTCTCAACTACAAGTCGGCAGAGACAGCGTGACCCCCACAGAAAAACCTGAGCCAGAATTCTGATCAACACCAGAGCTATGCTGAGTATCCACCCAATGATGGTGAGTATCAGGCCAAGAACGCTTGCCAACAGTGGTAAGGCAAAAACCGAATAGAAAATGACCGTCTGTCGGATTAAAGCTCGTAAATTGCCAATCTCAACTTCAATAATCACTCGCTCCAAAAGCTTCTGAAAAAGGAAATAATAGAGCTCTCGATCTGCCGGGCTGAGATTCCAAGTCCCGAACGAAACCAATGCTAAGGCAACGTGAGCTCGGGGCATGGCACCACTACAGAAGAACTTGAAGCCAAAATGAAAAAAATATCAGACTGTTCAAGAACAAACAACGCATCTTTGCACACCAATCAAAGAAAGTCACGCAATGCCCAAGCGGGCCCACTCACTCATTATAATATATATATATATATATTTATTGTCCCTCTATTGCCCGCGGTTTCTGCAGTATACTATATAACTTTATCTATTAAAAAAATATTGGAGAGTACACCCAGTTTGGAGACCAACACTAGTGCGCAAATATGGCCAAAAATCAAAAAAAAAAAAACTCTTTTCGCGTTAAGGAAGACTCCTTCTCGGGATCTCTGCTCCACTCAGTTACAACGTGGATGGCATGGCCCCAATTTCGGATGACCATATTCCGAATAGCAAACAGGTGGTGAACTCCACTTCGATGATCCTTTCAGGGAGGGTAATCCTTTCGGTACTCACAGTGGCCTGCCATGCCCGCAACAAAACAGCTGACGTGTGCTTTTGGGACTCCACAACAGTCTGAACAGCTGACATTCGATAGGCATGCGACCCATGTGCACTCACTGTGTGATTGAGTTTCACTGTAGAAACATGTAGAAAATACTCAACTTCACTTAGATTGGTCGTGAGAATTGACGTTTGGAAAACCCAGGAACCATGAAAAGGTGCACATGTGCCTATCAAACGATCTCCATAGTGGTTTCATCCGATCTCCAGGCCCATCGGCGGCCATCGGCTTGTAACCAGAACTGATTTCCATGAACAAGCCTATTGACACACCTATTTGGGAATGGAATCTCCGTGCGTGTTGAACACTATAGCTAGCTATACTACTGTATTGAGTTAGAAGGCCACCTCACGGTCAAACAAATGCACGGCCCGTCTTGCCTGTGAACTCGCCACTCTTTTCTTGGGGCTCTCCTTGCAATGCGCTTCTTGGCTTTTGAGGATGGACTCCATAATTGTAATCCTAGCACATGTTGCTCCTTCTTGCCCGAGCATTGTAACACTTTGGACTTTCGCAGAAATACACATCTCATCAGTACAATCAGGTGATTCCAATCCAATAATTTGTTTTGCATAGGCGACAAATCTATTGAACGGAGGCACGGGGTGCGAATGGACATGGATTTTAACTTATTTTGATTGTCTCTGCTAGTTACTTGCTCTGATTAATCCAGCTTGAACCCCAATCAGCTGAGGCAAGCTCTGGAAAATCCTGACGGTCCAACCCGATGTGTCAACTGATACAGTCCAGCGATTCATCAAGCGATCTCTGGGTCAAAGCCTCAAGGATCGCCGTCGTTGAGTCGCTTCCTTGAAACAAAACCACCCCGGGTTCCCTGGTCCAGGGTGAGCCGAGCGTAACCGCGTGACCTGGGGCGACAAATCTCCGTCTGCCAGGTGCCAAATCGCAGGTCTGCGGTCTCCGCGTCGAACCCAAGTGCAGTCATTGGTAATCATATTGTATAGATACATTTAGTAGCCGTAAGTTCACATCAAAAAACACAATAAAATGCAATAAGTTCACATCCGGTCCAACTTGTCCATTTTGAGGTGTCAATCAGGATGTTTCGGGGGGACCCACAAGCATTTTGACTTCTAGACTATAGATTCTAGATGTTCTGTACAGCTTGACCAAACAAGTGTCCACCCACCCTGCACCCATCTGCTTCTCCTTCTCACGAGGGCGTTTCATGGGTGATCCCATCTTCTGCGGTGAGCTTGATCGGGAGCCTCATGTGCAGTGTGTGCACAAATTTCCACCAGTGGGCGGCTTCAAAAAAGAAACAAATCTCTCAACATGGTGCAGGAAGCACATGCGCTCCGAGGCGGGATTCAAAAACAAAAACAAACACCGGCATCAAACCAGCAAAGCTGCAAATGTGTCACTCAAATTCCTGGAAATCGTGGGTTTTATGGCACCTAAAGAAAAGGGCGGTACGGCGGTACGACGAAGATTGGCACTTGGGGATCGATGGCACAGCTCTTTAACGACTTGTGGCGACTGAACAGATGTGGCCCCAGTACCTGGGAAGATTAACATGGAACCTGAAATTGGACCTTTGGAAGATTTTGGAAGACTACAGTAGCTTCCCCTATAAACCAGGGTTTTCAGGTTGACATGTTAATTGTCCGGGGAGTATTCGGATGTATTCGGTGGAAGCGAAGCAAACCGCCGTGCTGACTCTAGTTTACGAACCCCACCACCGACTGGAAGGTGACTTTGTAAATATCCAACTCATCCATGCAATCACCAGTGGCCCGTGCTCAATTAAGACTAAACAAGCGATCATCAGTCGTGCTCCCCCAATATACCAAATGACTTCTTGAACTATTTTAGGTTGGGGGTGACTACTGGGGTGACTATGGACGCTCAAGGAGAGCGTAGACACGATCCACCACGGTGGTACGCAAGTTCCTGGCAATTTGACGCACTCATCTCAGCACCGCACGTTGCTCCACAAAAGACTCGAAGAACAGGGCTCCTCCAACAGTTTTCCACACATCCAAATGGCCAAACGGCCTACATACAGTACGTAGTAAGTGGTTAAATCATGTTAATTAAATAGTAGACTGCTTGATGATTTTCAACCATTCCCCCCCTAAAGTGTCACTCAAGTGGCAAAACCATTCTCAAAGGGGCTCCAGTGACGCGTTCTCCAAATGTTTCCCGTGAAGAACTGGAGCTGTGCTTAGGCAAGTGTAAGAAGCCAGCGGATTTGGTGGATTTGCAACCTACTAGAGTGAGAAACAAAGAGTTTGTAAATGCACGACATGTTTGAACTCCCTATAAACATAGGTCCAGTCCCCAAGAAGGATTACACATATCAGTCACATATCGGTGTCTTATCCTCTGTCGAGGGCATTCAGCCCTGAACATGTCCTACAGTTCTTGTTCCAGTGTTCCAGGGCAATTCAAAACGTGGGTGACCTTTAGAAAGAAGGCAAACCCCAGAAACCCACCCGGCTTTAAGGAAAAACACTCAAAACCGTTAACACCCCATTGGGCCAGCGGGGGCCACCCAGACTGAAAGCCATTGGGCCGCTGAGGGGTCTAAATACACACCCACACCGTCTAAGCCGGGAGGACTGGAGGACTGGTGTCTGTCTGACAATCGTTTGGCTGACGAAAACAAATGGATGTGGAATGTGGAATACCATACTTTTGGAGCATTTTTGGTGGTTGTTGTCCCGTGGATGAGGCGATGAGGCAGCTTCATCGGATGGATTGAAACTTGGGGCCTGGCATGGACAGCGTTCCTTTGGAAGATATGCAAAGGCTTCGGACTGCTTCCTCCGGAGAACTTAGCATCATAATTAGCAGGCTTGTCCCATGTTGCTCCAACCAAAGATCTTTAGAAGATAAACGCTAAGGAAGCAATATGTTGAAAATGAGCTAGACATAGATAGGTCTTTCCCAAAACAGGCACCAGGAGTAAGAGTTTGTCTAATTTTTGTTGCGCGCTTCCCCTGCAGAGTCCACCCCCACAGATGCATGGCACCGGGTGGAATGGGGCTGAAACCATCGAAACTCATCGAAGCAGGCGGTTCATGATGATTGATCTACCGCTGAAATGGATCATCATGGATACTATTTCAAAGGACTCCAATTGGCCGGTAAAGTCATAGCTGAGGGAAAACCACGCTTCTTTTTGGACACTCGCAGCCGGAACCCACAATGTTAGTCTGCTCCTTCAGTTGGCTTCACTAGTCGTTTTGTTTACACTTGTTGAAGGTCGAAGTCGCCCAAAGAGCCCACTGAAGGCAACTTCCTCTCCTGCAAGCCTCTCACTGCTATGCCCGACCTGGGAATCTCATCGCCCCAGCACACGAGTCCGTGTCCAGTCGAATGGACGAAGATTTTTGTCGGGTTGATGTCCAGCGTTGGAACTCCAAGAAGCATAAGAAATCGTCTACCCCATGTCGACTCCGGACTGGAACCCTCTGGCGAGAACGTGACCCGGGAAAAGCCACCGCGTGTCTGTATAGGCTGTACACCTGCCAGGCCCAATAGGTACGCGTGTCTGGGTACGAGGGCTGGACGCCGAACTTCGCCCGGCTGTGGGTGGGAATGAAATTGACAGGTGCCCCATTTCAGGCGGCGCGGCTGGCAACGGGGCAACTGCTACAGCAGAGAGAACCTCTCTGCCTGTAGGACTCTTGGACCTCCTGGAACCAGTGGTTCAAACTAAAGGCCATTAGAGTGGAAAAAAGGGCCCCACAGTCATCTGGTGACCCAGTATTAAAGGGAGTGTCTGCTTATTCACCAATGCAATTGATCGATTTTCTGTTAGTGTTTTGACGGTCCACGCCGTAGCGCATCCCCTGAACTGCAGGGGTGGGGTAGGGGCCTGTCCCGCCTAGTGTTACACCCGCAAATTCAACGCGGGGTCCGAAGCATGCAGGATGCGTCATAACCACTAGACCATACCAGCCCTCTTGCTTGATAACTTTTGTATACTTCTAGTGTAGGGTAGGGTGTGGCCAAAGCGATCCAACAAAGACACTTCGGGACTTTACGCGGGTGTGCCAATAATTTCTGGTGTCCCACCTCTGTTCCTCTATCAAAACATATCAAAACAAGTTCCGCTGGTCTTTTTTGGTTTTGTTCTTCCAAGACCTGGCTCAGATTTCATTCTGGACCAACTTTGAAACTTTGAACAATACATGGTTGTTTTTGCGTCGAAAGTGGTCCATGTGACGCCCAAAGTTTTCTTGAAAAACGCCACAATTCTCCAGGTCCCAAGGCCCCCAAGGTGAAAGACATGGCCGCTCCAGAGCTCCAGAGCTGGAAGACGGCGCTGGCTCAACGCGACACGGAAGCAGTCGGACGTCACTGAGAGCCTTCGCAGCCGGGCGCCCCCTGGACTGGGGCCTCCGAGCCCGTTGCTCGCGCCAGAGCTCGTAGAAGTCGCCCGCGCGTCGGGAGATGGCACTGGAGATGGTGCGGCGTAGCGGGCTTCCTGCGTCAAACCGACCGGTCGAAAGACGGGCACCAGCGGTGCTGAACGACCGGGCGAGAGCATCCAAAAGATCGACATGAAAGGGAAACATGACCGACTTTTTAGGTCAAAACCACCCCCCTGCGACATCGCTTCCCATTCGATGGTGTGCACTTCGATGTTACCATTGTTATATGCAGTTGATGCGGAGAATACCAAGCTGTATAGCGCAGGATGCTTGTTCACAACCAACATCCAAAACACAAGACTGCTCAGAAATTCCATGCAATTCACGCTTTCCTCTAATTCAAGTCTCGTTGGAACCTGGCATCCATCATCCTCCTGGTCACGGCCACAATGACCCATCTTCCGCCCCCGGGGGGAAGGCCTGGAGAGAGGAAACCCATGCGACTGAAGCTCAGGTCTTGCGGGTCAATCCTCGGTGGTCTTGCAGAGTGAACAAATGCTCGAGTGGATCGTCGGGCTTCGGGTGGGTCTCGAAGAACTTCCTCGTGGCTTCCTCTTTTCAGGTTGGAAATGGTTTTCATCGTTTTGCCGACTTCCTGACTTTCCTGGATTTGCGTGGTTAAATGCAGTTCTGCAAAAGTTTGGCGTCTTTTTTGTCCGGCAGTTTTGCGGGTAAAGTTGGTAGGTTGTCTCATACATGTTGATTGACCAAAAGCCCGCTAAATCTCAATATATGTTCTAGTATACGTGTGTTTTTTGGAGTTTTAGGTGTCTTAAGAGTTTGCGGTAGAACGACAGTGTTTTGCGACATCAACTTGCAAACTACAAAGTCCACAAAATCATCCTGGAGAATGAATCTTAGGATGCATTAACACTTTTACCCTAATACCCTGACGAATATCCCAACAAAAGGAAAAACACTTGTGACTGATCTATGTGCTTAAACATAATAAAGTGCTGCCATTGTTCTGCCTTTAGGAACGTCATGTCATGTCAATGTGCTTTTTGGGAAGTCTGCCCTAATCCCTCGATCCCGCATGATGCCACCTCCAAGGCCCCTTTTTTTTTGCGGGCCAAGTTGCAGGGGCCGATCCGCGGCCATCTGGACCTGGCAAAAAAATGATACAAACAACATAGTACGTAGTGTATATATGAAGACCCTAACAGGTGGTTTCTGGGCACCTGTTGCCACCAGGAAACACCTGTTAGAGGGTCCAGGTATCAATATCCCATTTCAGTAGATGGCACTGGCACCCCAGTGCCATCGGTGGTGCAAATATGGAACTTTATCCTTAAGGACATCTTGGGGTCTGTGCCAGTGTGCCAGCCACTCTGAAACCACTGTAACAGCCCCCCCAGGGGCCAGACAGCCAGACAGTAAGCCTCGAAGCCTCAAACGAAAGTGAGTTCCAAAGGACCCTCCAATAGGCCCAACTTTGGAAACTGCTGTTAGGCGCAATGAGAGGAAGGTACTCTCCCTGGAACTAACATGGAAGTGAAGTTCACCACCTGTTTGTAGTGGATTTGCTGGTCTTCCAAGGTTCCATTCTCCACGTAACCATGTTAGTTCCAGGGAGTGTAGGCATATCTAGAGTCGACTCCCCGCCCTGCCGCGCCCGAGTCAGCGCCTTCGCGTCTGGTGTGGTGGTGGTGGTGTTGGCCACGGGGTCGCCGGTGGTGTTCGCCACGGGGTCGGAGTCCGAGGCCTCCGGAAAGAGTAGTGTTGGGTCATATAAGTCTCACAATACCTGACAGGTGGTTGAAGGTCCAAATGTGGTCCAAATGTCGAATGCCTGAGGAGGTACTTGAAGTTGTCGGGTAGGACAAAGTCTGCTTTGATGGCTTGGTATCAAGTTCGAGAAATCCCCAAGGACGTAAAATGTAAATAAGTCTGACTTGAAAGTTTGGTTTGAGGGTAGACGGTAGACATGGCATATAGATCATGGATCTTGATTGTATAAGTTTTTTTGCTAAATTATGTAAGTAGTTGTATAATTATGAATATATGATATATATATATGTATATATATTACATATGGGATGTATCCTGCAGGAATTAGATCAAATATCAGAATCTTTTAGGAAGACCGTTGACCGTTCCAGCAACATTGTGTGCTAGTCGCACATGCCGCACAGCACATGTGGCACAGCACATGCGGCACGTGTATGCAGAAAAACCATGGCGATCCGTGGCGCTCCCCCGGTCGACACCGGCCCTTTACCGTAAGAACCCCCAGTGTGACCCCACTGTTTGGGGAAAACAACCACCATCCTCCCAGGCCGGTGGACGTTCTTCGTCCTCCGCTTCGCGGCTTCGCTCGCTCTGACCCTCACGGACTCCCCCTGACTCCGCCGACCGAGGCCTGCTCGGGGACCACTTCGACGCTTGGAAGCGTGACCTGACCGGGGGAAAAGGCGAACGCGCAGGTTCGTGAAGATGACTCCCGCAGGTTCGTGGAGTCATCTGGAACCTGTGCCCGCGGGGTATCCGTGGGGTCTGGGAAAGTCTCAATGGGAACTTGGAGGTACACGGATTCACTTGGGGGGTTGACAGTCCATGTGAGGGCAACGCCTCAAACAAGTACAGAAACTTCTCTGACCGCTCTGGTCACCATGCAGTTTTGCTCCAGTTGTTACCAAATTGATTGCTCTGGTTGCACCAATCTCATAACATCTCACCCAATTCCATTCTTGCTCCAACCTGGACACCAATTCAGGCTATCACCGCAGCTACCCACGAAACGACCGCAGCAGACGACGAAGGGAAAAAGGTGCTGGTGATAGGCGAAGGTGGACGACCGTTGGTGTCTCACATGCGAACAAAGGACCCATCTAAGCTAACCATTGTGTCTCTCACTTCAAAGATCAACCTCTGCGACTCTTTTTGTCAGCGACCCTTCAGAATTTCCATTTCCTAAGGAATCTAGCTGGTGGTCTGTATCACGGCTTTTCTTTCGTGGGCTGGAGGAAGTTAAAAAAGAACGCCTTCAGCCACCCACTCCTCAGGAGGGGAAAATGGATCAACATCGAAACTCTTCCAGTCAGTGTTCTTGCAGCAATTCTGATTGGAAGAAACATAACAATTAATTGTTCATTATCGGAACATATCGGAACATCGGGTCTTCAGAGGAACAAACCACCGTGGTTCTTGCAGCATCAGAGCCACGGATGATGATTTGAGGCACAGCAACATGGATCCAATTAGGATCCCCTATAATAGTGGTACCCAAATAGACGGAAACCGTTTCCAATACACGTTGAAAGGGGGTTATACTTTTCTCTATTTGGGGGTCTATATACTTACTTGTTGCTAGGTTTGGTATCTGGGGGTTTTGAACACTGTCGTGCGCTATAAGTCTCTCGAAATTAGTGGGTGTCCATTCTTTCAAATCTTTCTCGCCCTTGGCTTTGTCATCCTGGCTGCGCAAGTCCCACTTGATACCTGGCCACCGACCACCATTGGTGTCTCTCCCACCCTTCGTGTCTACAGCCAGTGAGCGTTCTCGGCGGGAAGGTTCGGGTTCGCCAATTCCATGGAGGCTTCCGACTGCCAGACCTCGATGCGGATTCTTGCTGGAACTCCAATCAAAGAGATTTGACCGCAGGACTAACATCTATGACGACAACAAGGCTAAGAAGGACATGAAATATGTTAGGTGATCGCACCAAGTGTATCCCCCATACCTTTCACGGGGGGGGTCCTTCTGGCCATTTCAAAAGGTGACCGGGATCCAAGTGTTGTAGTTTTGGAGGCTTTCCTGCTGTTGGAGGGGTGTTGTTTGTTTTCAATACGAAGCGAAAATGATCAAGCTGGGGACCCCCTCTGAGTGTTTGGTGGACTCTTGGACTCTGGTCTTCTTCTGCCGTACATATCCCTCCAAAAAACAAACAAAACACAATAAAAACACATATGTAGTCAACTACCTCTTTGCCACCCTTCCATGCCCATGCCCAGTCCAACATCTGCACCCTGGACCGATGCGCAAACCGGCCTCTGAGGCAACCCCCCCTCCTCCCCCCCTGCTACCGTCCAACACGCGCGGTTCCCCGAAAGTCGACTGATGGTTGTGCCTTCGCTTCGCGCAGGGCTGCAGCCAAGGCCTCCAAATCCTCGTCCTCTTCCTCCGAGTCCAAGCCCTCAACGGCCTCAACGATTCAGTGGGATGATTCGAAGAGGCACGGATCTTTGCATGTAGAGGATGCGGTTTGCTTCAAACAAATGCAAGGACATCTTCAGAGTTTAATCTTCAGTTTTGAAACATGGCATGTTCATCTACTCCAGGAAGTGTGTCATATAATATAGGTTTCTAATGGTCCAACATATTCTGCCATTTGACACGCAACTAACTTACGGTCAGCAATCGTTCACTTCAGGTTGGTTCCAACCTGGCTATCTTGCAGGCCCGCTTCGGTCGGACTGATTGGCAACGACAAGGCTGCTGTGAAGCAGTCCTGAGCAAGATGATCCGTGGTAACTCTTGATTCGCGAGACTTTGGTAGAAAGAACACATAGTACCAAGACATTAAGCAACACATGAACTAGATTGAACCTACCAGTAGGATCTTCTACGATTGGGGCGGATATAGATTGCAGATGATTGCAGGCTTCTTCTTCAAGAGTGCCAGGTTTGATCTGATCCTCTGAAAGGTCTATCTGAGATTGCAGTCTGATGTCCTTTTGGGAAGAATAGAGGGGGTCGGTTTGGTACCATATACCCATTATGTGTCATTGGTGGTAGACTTTGGGGTATCCCCCTCCTGTTAACCAACCAACGGTTAAAAGGCCCTCTACGAGTTGTAGTTGTCCATCTGGGCCTCTGGACCGGCCGCTAGCGTGATTGACATGCCGATCTACTTGGCGCCGCCCCCGTGCAACGTGTCGGAGCAAAAAGCGGTGACGAAGTCTAGCCTCAAGTCACGCACATTGTAGTTATGTACTGTTATATAATGTGATAATATTTAAAAGAAAAAACACATCCTGGACAGAATATGGGACAATCAAAAAACTATGAGGAACCTGGTCATGCTTTTGTCATGCTTATGGATTGGTTTGTCTTCTATCTACTCCACCCTGGTCGTGCATCAATTCCAGACCCGTCCCGCAAGTGGAGGGAAGACGCGGGGAGCCCGACGAAGGACCTGGTATGACCTGAATGGCCTGATCTGTGACTGCATCTTCCAACCTCGAGCCAGGCACGTTGCCTGGGGGCGAATGTCACCGGCAAGTGCGCGACGCAAAGTGACGAATCGAATCGAAGCCTGAGGCGCTTCTGGCCGACTACATGTCTATCAGCCTTGCCGACTTGAAGGTCTTTCGCATCTTTCGTACTGGAACACATTCCCAGGCTCTTGTTTGCTTTGGCGCTGGTTCCAGCCCTGGGAAAGTCTGCACACGAGGTGGTGCTCGGATGTGCTCGGTGACGGACAATGATGCTCTTCAAACAGTGCCGGTTGTGCGTGCCGGGCCGGGCCGGGATCTGCCAGAGCGTCACTTCGGACTGCGTCACTTCGGATTCACACAGCCCATGAACAACTGGAGATTTCTCTACATTTCATGGTGTGGCAATACCCACCGTCCGTCACCCATTGAACATGTTCGCTGTCACCGCTACGACTGTCAAGCTGTCTGAGAACGGCGTCCTCGTCAGTTTGGAGCCAGACCCAAATCCCTAGAGTTATAAAAATATTTCATTGGAGAGAGCCTCTATTCATTTTCTTTTACTAAGTCAAAAAAGTCAATCCCAAAAGTCAAAGTAAACAAAAATCAAAACATAAAGTTTCAGAAAGTCAAACAAAAAGTCAATTTGCCCAGATACGACTTTTTTCTGACTGTGTTTTCGACTTTTTCGAGTGGTTGACTTTTTTTTTGACTAATTGTGTTGTTTTTCAAACGTTTTCGCGTTGTTTTTTGAATTTGACTTTGTTTTGACTGTTTTTTTCGCCGTTTTTTAACGTTTTGTTTGACTCTTTTTTGCTTGTTTTTTTCTTTTTCGAGCTGTGGTCTATGGTTGACCTGTTTTTGACTTTGTTTTACTTTTTTTGCCTTTTCAATTTGACGTTTTTTGACTTTGACTTTTCCATTTGACTTTTTTTGATGCTTGTCAAGGATTCTGGCCTTTGAACGAATTTTATAACCCTAGAGCCAGCGAGTGCTTGGTGTCCTAGACCAAGCGGACTGTCTTCACTTCCAGATCTCCCCATGTTTCGCTTTAGGCGAAACACAAACAATGTATATCAGTTTTTTGGCGTTCCCACACCATGTCTTTAAACGAAAGTTGAATCAACATAAACACAAGAGAAACAACAGAAACGTTCTCAGCTTTCCGGTTTGAGAAACACCGAGTGGCTTCGAAGTCCCAGGTGACCTCATCCGTTTCAGTGTTCCAAAAGTAGAACTCATCCTCCAGCAGAAGGGATGAGGTGCCCATATAGACCATGAAGTCCTGGGAATCCACATACCTTATCAGAGTCTTAGAAGGTGCTTGGAGACATTTGAGATCTAAGGAGGTACGTCCTCGATCCCTAGGGATCCCGGGTAACTAGCATCGAACCGAATTTGTGAACCTGCGCCTTTAGCAGTCACTACGAGGGACTCGCTTTGGCGGCCCGTTTCTCCGACAGATAACTATAACACTAGATTGACGCGTCGCGGAAAGTCCTGTCTGTCTGCATATCCTCACCCAATGGTTTGACCCAGAAGTCTTAAGATGTCTTTAGGGTTTGCATGACATATATGGATTTCACCAGAGGACCCAGCAACCATTGTAAGGAAACACAAACTATGAGAAGCACTTACTACTATTTAAACATGTGTGCATGTAGGTATATAAATATATACATGGTTGACCTATACTGCTACTACTATACTCACCAGAAACATCAATGACAACACTCCTTACTTCTGCTGGTGTCCCCAGGCTTGGTTCACTCCCAGAGTTCTGCATAGTTCACTGTTCAACTTGAAGAGCTAAGAGGCTACCCCACAGTCCCCCATGGTGAAGATCTCATCATTGAGCCGCCGCTCACATCTATATCATATACCCCTTCAGAACAAACCCTTTGTTCAAGCGTGCCTGGTATTGTGCACCAAAACCAGCTTTATCTCCCAAACCGGTGGGCCCAAAACCCGCTCTAGTTTTAGCGATGGCCTCCAACCTACAAGTACTTGCGATGGCCTCCACCTGCCTCTCGTCGACGTCGGTTCTTCCCGGATCCACCCAGTCCCTGGTCCCGGTTTCCGGTCCTCATGCGGCACCCGGACCTGGGGCAGCGCAAGGGGGGTCGCAAGGGGTTCTTGCGGCGCTCATTCCTCCTTTAATGTTTGTTGAAATAGACCTGTAATGGCCAGTATATTATAGTATTACTATATATTAGTATATATAATGTATGTATATATAGTAAAAAATATAGTATAATAGTTCATTACAGTATATATAGTTGCATATATAATTCTATCGAACTCCTCGTTTCCAACAGGACACGTCCAGTCGTGCATGTCTTCCCCGTCCGATCGAATGAGAGAACAACTTGTCGGTGTCCACCACAGGTGACCCTTCTTGTTTCATTCCGGATGAACCAGCCTCTTTTGCTGGATTTGCTGTCCAGGAGCCAAACAAAATACACCTCCCTGAAACAATCATGGCAGTGGAATGTCGGCCCCGGATCCTCAGCTTCCATGATGGTTAGGAGGTGGGTACTCCCCAGAAGGTGGAAAAAGTCTACATTAAATGGCCCCCAACCGCAACACCAACGACACGATGACACGGAGAAAAAACACCAAGACACCCAAGGCTTTGGAAGATCCTCCAGGGTGCGCGAGGGCGGCATGGGCGTCTCATCTGCCTGCATGAAAGCGGCATGGGTGAAGACCTGGAGGTGGCTCATGGTCTTGTTCTATTGATTCCTTGTTTTCTTCCACTTATTCTTCCTTCACCTTCAGCCTTCGCAGCAGTTCTCTCTTTTTCATGGTCTGCCTGCAGTTGCTCCATTGGCAATCGGTGTTGCTATCGGAACCATTGATGATTTGTGGGAACTTTTGCCGTTTGCAGAGATTTTTGGTGAGTTTTTTCTTTTTTAACAACAGGCACACCTTGTTCTCGTCCTTGGCCTCTTTTTATATAGCTAATCATGATTCCTGGTCAGTCAGCTTTCGTAACGTTATCCACCGACACGCTTGCAACCAAAAGGGAGATACCTATTGAACCTCAGTGATTTGGTAGGATGAACCTCCAAATTCAGAATAAATTATGGACAAAACAGGGTGAATGGGTTCTAGGATGATCTGCACCACTAAACATTTGTCTCTATATATATAATTAACTATATATATATATACATTAATATGCATGTGTACATCTTATATACAGTATATAAGTCGACTTAACATGGCTTAACTAGGTGAGGTACTGCTGGTGGGTGCTGGTGACTCTCACGTATCAAACTGGCGTCCGTCTCCCGGGCCTTCATGGGAGAGATCGGCCTGATGCGCGGGCGGTCGGTGTGGGGTGAAGCCTCCCCCCCTGGTCGGAAGAGGTCCAGTCCAGATCGAGTGGTTCTTGCGATCTGAAATCGATTCAACAACAAGGCATTGGAAGGGGTCAGTAGCTTTTGGAAGCTCCGGAAAGCACGAGGTCACAAGCTACCTTGATCTCTAAGTGGATGGGAGAAGTGTCTGAAGGCCAAGAGCCTTTCGGATGTTGTTTGTAAAATGCTGAACACATCTGAACACCTGCTTGTGTATCTCCAATCCTTTGCAACTCTTTGGTTGTTGGGTGTTACACACCGCTAAATAGAATGGGTTTGCCGGCCTAGGTTCACGATGACTCAGTTTCAGCTTTGCCAACCTCCAGGAGGATCCGAGCAACCTTGTCGTGGCACAGCAAGGACTCGCAGCAAAAAGGGCATTGCTGCTGTGGGAAGCAAGACTACCAATTACAACTAATAATATAGATTTTGATTTAGACGTACTGTCTGTCTGTCTGTCTGCCGGTCGGTCGGTCGGTCTGTCTGTTGTTTGAGGGTGAAGTGCCTATTCGAACCAGCTAGGCTTTGGTTTTGGAGCCTCAAAAGACATGAAAGATCGACCTAACGACCGACTGTTTTCCAGACCAAAGCCCATGTCTTTCCACGAGCAAAACACTCCCGTACCCAGCTTCGACCAAGGTGCTCAGGGGTGCAGCTGCCTTCGGGGAGCCTGGAAAGTAAGCACGCCCGGAAAACCACGGTGATCGACGCACAGTAAACCACCTAGACCATCCAATGGGACTGACTAGACCATCCAATGGGACTGACTAGACTATGAAATGGGACTGACTAGACCATCCAATAATCTGAACAAATCACTCACCTGGTCAGAATAGAAACATATTTTTATATCCGCGTTGCTACAGACTATAGACTATAGAAGTTCACCCCCTCACTTTATCCAGAAATTGGTTAAACAAAATGACTTTCACACACCATAGGTCTGCACAAGTCATTTAAGCTGAACAGTGAAAAAATAACACAACTTTCACACAATGTTATCTAAAACAACTGGCTAATTTGACAAGTTGACAAATCCATCCGTGCCAACCATGTTATGTTAAGACCCATGTCAAATAACCCTTACACTACATAAGTCAAGTAAAACGGACTTTCTGCGGTCGACCAAACTCATTTCAAATAGCCGGTAGCAACGGAGATATTGCTATATTCCCAGAAATACCCTGCATGCCCCCTGCATTCTGAAAAAACATACATTAACCATGGGCTCCCCCTGCTGAAATATACACCCATATCGATCTTGGTCTTGAGTCCCCTATCTTCAAGCTACCCCCTGCAGACGAACATGGAACCTGAGAATGGAGAACATGTGAAAACTGCAGAACTCTAAATCTAGCCTTCATCACAGGTGTTTGAGGGAAGTGCACAGGGAGGGGGTGAATTCTCCCAAGTAGTCATTTTCGTTACCAGCAAAGCTACTGTACGTGCTGGTAGAGTCAAGTTTGTATATGCCTTGCCTCCAACAGTTCCACTCAACCTCTCAATTAGATAATGTGAATTTGTCTCAACAATGTTTTTTGTATGCTTAGCATAGCTTAGCCTTTGTTTATATTCTTGTGTCCCAAAATTCCAGCTTTGTTTTGGAGTATGCATCAACCAATTCACTTCAGCACTTTTATTTATGTGCGTGATCGGTCGAGATCAACGGAACAAAAGGGAAGGACTGAGTACTCACTCATACACCACAGCACGAACAACTCTGTATCGTTGAAATAAAGAGTGCCTGAACCCTCCGTCGTAGCAGAAAAAAGTGACAGAAAAAAAGAACTGCACATCATCAAAAAAAGTGTTCATGCCTTGAAAAAGCGTACCACTGGAAAGTCAGATGTAGCTTCATTCCACCTTATATATGTGGTCTTCAAGTCCATTCCCCTGCCACATGCTGGCACCCATCCCATGCACACACAACACACGCTCACACACTACGAAGCGGAAGCCAGCAACCCCTTTCTTTGATCATCAGTATCAACATAAAATATTAACAGTAAGTAAAATAACAATCCGCCACTTTTTAAAATTGAGCCCGGGTTGCGGGAATTTGCGCCCGGGTTGCGGGAATTTGCGCCCAAGTTGCGGGCACCCTTCTTGGAAAAATTGTTGTAAAGCACGCCCAGAAGGTTGGAACCAAACCTTTGTGGTTTCATTTGCACATACTACTAGTAGGAGGTCATATAGGATTTCCACCCGGTCCATAGGGCCCCCAAAGGCCCACAAGGGTTGATAAGGACACTGGTCAGGAACCAGTAGGCTTTAGAATTTACATCACCAAAAAGCGCTCATATGTCCTGAAAAGTGTACATACCCTCAATTAACGCTCAAACTTCCAATAAGTGCTCCAAACCATGGTTCGCCAGAAAAAAGTGCTACAAAGGATGCTTCAGGTGTCCTTCATAAGAAGTTCTGTCTTCAAGGTCCAAAACGGGGCCTAGTTCAGACTCATGTGCCCCAATGCACCTAAACCATACACTTTACTGAAATAATCCAAGCCGTGTGCCATGAGGTGTGCCGTGTTGTGGCTTCATGGCCTTAACCGCTCTTCCGATACAAAACCCTCAGAGCCAGCAACAGGCCCCTTGGATCGGTGCCACGTGTGTTCCTCAATGGAAGTTCTGAGCAAGGACTTACGCTGCATGGTGTTCTCCTATTGTCGACAGGGTGTATGGGAATGGGAACTTAGATAGGGAGACCCCCAACCAACAGTTCATTTGCCTTGTTCCAAGGAGTCTTCGAGGCTTCCTCATTTTTATGCATGCTTAGACTGGAAAACAGAACCGCCGACCGGACTCCTTGTTCAACCACCCCAGTGGCCAGTCCCATGTGTGGTTCGGTAAATATGTCAGTCCCATGAAGCGTTTGGATGTCAGTCCCCTCGCGTCGCACCCGTGTCGCACGTCTGGTCGTCCGTTTCGGGTCGGTCGTCAGACGCTTCGACCGACACCGCTTCCGACCTGAGAGGTTTCGTCCGGCCCGGAGCGGTCACTCTGGGCCGCTTCCGAATGGATTTTGGGATTTCAACCGGGATATTTTATGTAAAATTCACACCTCACAAACAGCTCCGAACTTCAGTCTTCGGACCGCTTTGGTGGTCTTCGGATGTCTTCGGAACATCCGCAGGGCTCGACCGGTCCGACCGTCTCGGCCTCTCCGGGCGCGCCTCGTGAGCCCGCTCTCGGCCGTGGCGTTGGCCGGCGCCTGGTGGGCTCCTCGCGGCTACGGCGGTGAGCCCTCGGTCTCGGTCTTCCAGGGCTCCGTTCGGCCGCCCCTCCGAAACTCGGTGCGATGGTCTCGGTCCGGGTGGTTTTGGGAAGTTTGGGAACCCACCGAAGAGGATATGAGCCAGGAGCCCTAGAGTGGCATGCCGATCACGGTTTCGCATGGGTAATTAATTGATGGTGATTTCGTCCATCTGAAATTGGGCATGCCCGATCCAATCGTCTTATGGAGGTCGTGTCTGGATGTGTCTGGGCGATATCGGGAGGGTGTTCTCGGATGGTTGTCTTGGGTTCCCATGCAAACTAGGGACAAAGATGATGTTTTTTTGAATGATGTTCGATGATGTTCTTAGCTTGCAAACCTTTCGCCACCCAAAAATTGCGATCCTTTTCGACGAAAGGCTCGAAAAGAAAACTACATTAATTATAGATAATTATACTACATGGTTGGATCAGTGTTTAGGTTGCAAACCCTTCCACCAAAAATATCCAAACATCGTGATCTTCTTTACATTCTTTAACCGACTGCTACTGGTCATGGGACACACCCTGCAAAGACACGACCTGTCCGGGACCGGCATATTGACTGAATTTTGGCCAGGATTGGTGCCGGGGGGGTGAATCTGTAGGCTAGATATGGCTAGATCCATACATGTCAACAAAGGTTGAAGAACCCCTATAGACTATCCCATAGGTACCCCAGAAGCTTCCTACAAGGTCACTTAGCCTCTCTTGGTGTGTCTGGTCATGGGATACACCCTGGTTCCAGCTCCATCTGCTCGCGGCTAGCCGCCCTCTTGCGACTGTGCTCGACCAAAGTATGAACCGGACCTTCGGCATTTGTTTCACCGTCCGCCAGGGGCGTGCGCTGACCTGGCAAATCTTGCGGGGAAATCGAGTCCTGCTTTGACTGTTGTTTTTGGGGGTGTGTTTGCTTGAAATCAATGGAGAACATCAATCCAATATCATCCAAATCCCATGTTTTTTTCAATTGGTGTTTCTATATGTGTTTTCAACACAATCCCCTTGACCTGGTGCTTTCTGTGACCTGGTTGAGTGACCAGCATCCCTGGTAGAATGTGCGAGTTTCGCTGTGGGATCCAGTCTCAGACTCTGGCAGGCCTTTGTTTTGACCTCCCGTTGTCCCCAAGCTGCCCCGTGGGGACCTGTTGGTCCTCTTGGGACCTTTTTGTGAGGGACAAACCTGCTCTCTTACCCATCAGCTCAGTTTGTCGTGTGCACCACTATTGAGGTGGTGCCAGGGGGGGTCAATGTAGGCATATATTCCATACATGGAGTGCATGGGTATGGAAACCAAACATGGGGCATCATGAGGATGAGTTTGACCTCAAGTGGTATTCCCTGTTTCGGGCCAGTGAAAGCCTCTACTGCTCGCAGTTGGAAGGTGGAAGTAACGCCGGGTAAGGACAACCAATTAACCTACAGCTGGCAGTTGGAAGTGAAGCCAGTTGGGAACAAGTAGAGTAACCCAAGCGCCTGCTGCGGATATACGGAAAATACATGGACACCCAGAGTACACCACAAAGAATTAGACTCTAATTGTTTCCCATCCAAGAAAGAGAAGGGAACATGAGCAAAAACAAAATGGAATGTCCAACTAGCATGGCAAACCATATGCAAAAAACACTTGGACATACACTGTCTCGAGTGTCAACAGTGTCAATAGGCAAAGATAGATTCCAAGATGTGTACCGTCACAAGGCAGCTAGGTATCGTTTTTGGGATTCATTTTTTTAGAACATGCAAATTGCTCATTTTTGTAGAAACGTGAGTGCCGACCTTTAGCACTTTGCACAGATCTTTCCACAGCTGCAATTTGCGGCCTTGCAAAGGAACCATACTCCAAGCTATGCGCCGGTGCATCTTCCTTTGCAGTCTGGAAGGCCAAGATAGTTATCTTAGCCACATTCTGAAGAAGCAGCTCGGGGTAAGCTAGAAGTGGTTCCATCGTGAAATCCAGCCAGAGAGTCCGGAATTCTCAAATTGGTCAAGCAAGTGCACCCTTGGAAGGCCTTTCGTCCAATTAAGTTCACAGAGTCTGGAATTGTCAAACTTGTCAAAGAGCTGCAGCCATAGAAGGCGTGGGATCCAATTTCGGTCACAGAGTCCGGAATGGTCAAGCTTGTCAAAGAGCTGCAGCCCGAAAAGGCGTAATGTCCAATGCGGTTGACAGAGGCCGGAATGGTCAAGCTGGTCAAGGAATTGCAGTCGATAAAGGTTGCATGTTCTATCTCAGTCACGGAGCCCGGAATGGTCAAGCTGGTCAAAGAGCTGCAGCCATGAAAGGCATGGGTTCCAATCTCCATCACAGAGTCGGGAATTATCAAGCTGGTCAAGGATTTGCAGGCAAAAAAGGTTTCCCGTCCAATTTTGGTCACAGATTCAGGAATAATCAAGCTGGCCAAAGAACTGCATTCAGAAAAGGCGTGGGTTCCAATGTCGGTCGTGGAGGCCGGAATTGTTAAGCTGGTCAAGGACTTGCAGCCAATAAAGGTTGCTGGTCCTATCTTAGTCACTGTGTCTGGAATAGTCAGGCTGTTCAAGGATCTACAGTCTTCGAACGCCTGGTATTCAATCTCAGTCACAGAGTGTGGAATGGTCAACCTGGTCAAGGAGGTACAGCCAGAAAAGGCAAAGGGTCCAATGCGGGTCACCAAGTCCGGAATGGTCAAACTTGTCAAAGAACTGCAGCCTTGAAAGGCGTATGGCCCAATGTCGGTCATAGAGTCTGGAAGTGTCAAGCTGGTCAAAGAGCTGCAGCCAACAACGGCTTCATCTCCAATTTCGATTGCAGAGCACGGAATGGTCAAACTGGTCAAAGAGCTACAGTGAGCAAATGCCCTGTGTCCAATCTTGGTTATCGAGTCCGGAAGTGCGAAGCTGGTCAATGCTTCGCAGCTTTCAAAGGCGTCATCTTCAATCTCAGTAACGGAGTCCGGGATGGCCAAACTGGTCAAAGAGCTGCAGCCTTGAAAAGCCCTGCATCCAATCTTGGTCACTGAGTTGGAAAAGGCCACGCGCCCCAGAAGCGTGCAGAATCTAAATGCATCTTGCGGGATTTCCGTTGCACCCTGGGGTATGTTGACGATATAAAGGTCTTCCCAGTCTTTCCCATCGCCTCTCAAGCTGGAATCGCCTGCCTCGTGCTTTGAACACTCAGTCGAGTGGACCTCGGCCAATTTCGACCTTCCGAAGACACCATTTTCGACCTCCCCAGTGACCTGGCCGGCCGCAGCCATCTCCCTGTTCGATTTCGAAGGGACCGAAACTCCATACACCACAGTCGGAACATCCTTTGCAAGCATTGATTCGTTTGAACGAAAGCGGAGCCGGAGTTGAAAAACAACAATCAAATACAACCAACTGGTGCTTCAATTTGATTTGAGACAAGACTACCATCAACATGATGTTCCAAAGAGTCACTGAACAAATTGTCAGCACAGAATGAATATATCTATGATGATACTATCTATGATATACAACGTATTATATATATAAACTAAACTGCTGCAATGGAAAGTAAACCAAACGCCTGATGAACAAATCTTGATGACTGTGAAGCAAACTTGCACAACCACGTCTTGAGAGAGCCCAGCTTGCACGACTGTTGCATCATTGTCAACGAGCTTGCCTTCGCTCACCACCACTTCGACCGAGGTCATCTTTTTCATCAAGTCATCTTGGAATTCTTGCATTCCTTTGAGTTCTGCCTTGAACTCGCCGACGGTCGTGTCGGGAAAAGCTTCAACTATAGTAATTCTCCCACCTGAAACTGAAACAAGTTCAACAAGCAAACCATTCTGACTAGGAAACGAGAGCTTGAGGCATGTAAAACAAAAGAAACAGCAGCAGCAACAACAACAACAACGACACCAACGCAAATAGTAAACAACATCCAAGTTGCTCATCTGCTGCACTGGAATTCTCAACGTCATGGCCAATATCAGGAATGATCTCCTTGTCTGTCCTAACACATGAACATGAGCACAATAGAGCACGATCCGATCCCAGGCGGCGTTGACCAACACATCCTTGGAGGGGGGGAATGTTGAATCTCGGATCCGGTCTTCTTCAAGAGAGTCGCAAACGCTGCAGGTATGGAAGATTTGGCTAACTTGACTCCTTTTCCACCGCCCCTACAGGCGAATTGGTCAGTCCCGTGGAGGAGAGACAACACTTTTACATCTTTACGGAGTCTGCTTCTGCTTCTCCGCAACCTGCGACTAGTTTGTGGCCTCCGAAGGGGCCTACCTTCGAAACTAGTAGCCTCCCGAAGCATATGCCATAAACGGTGGTTTCAGAGTAGATGGCACAATCATGTGGACCCCCATCTAAAGTAGGGGTTTGTGCCATCTACTCTGCAACCACTGTACATCAACTTACGCCCTCTTTGAGTTTGGTGATGTTGATGCGCTTTGAGCAACAAGAAACCATTTCTGGTCCCGCCGTGGGTGCCTGCATCTTGCGCCTTGCTGGACGTCGCCGTCCGGTCTGGGGTGCCTGACACAAGCTGTGAGGCGAGGGTGGAGGGTGCTGCTGAAAACGGGTGGTTATAGTGGTCCCCAAATATGTATGCATGAATATCGTTACAGTATATTATAGAACGTATAGAAACGGTGTCCAATACATGTTTAGTGGGTCTACTGTAGGGCTAGAACTCCAATCTGACCCTAGAACCGCTCTGATCAAACCAGTCCTCCACGCACCGGCTGCCCGACCCCGGAGCCCCGCAGTCCCTCGGCCTCCAGCGGCCTCGGCCTTCGGGCTTGCACGGCGGTCACGGTGGACGGCGCGGAGGACATCGTCACCTGCGGCGAAAAAGTCGAGTTTCTCGGCGAAAATCCAAGGGATGGAAGATCTTGGAAGTGGGTGACTGGGGTGCGTGTATGTGAGAGAGAATTATCCATGTAAATTCTACGTGATGGACCACAAACCTTCTCAAAACGCAACACAAATCTCAAGGGCCAAGGGTGACCACTTCGGAATCCAGTGAGGTGGGCTTTTCAACTGCGATCTCCTTCACCGCCTGCCGAATACACTCCCTGCCCCGGTGCCTTCCGCGACCGCGGTCTTTGCCCGGTCTTCACGCCGGGAGCGGGAGCGCTTCTTTTCAGCAGCATCGCGCCCGGAAGAAGTGGTATCTGAGCGATGAGAGAGGGCGAGTCGAGGGATGCGAAGAAGATGAGAAGAATCGAAGAACGTCTTGGTACAGATCAGGTGTGCAAAGGTGGCTTGCACCCAACAAACTTATACATTGAAACAACATGAGAGACACTGGTCCAGGCTACCCAAACCAGCTGCCGGTGACGATGTTCGTCCGGCTGGCGCACGATGTTCGTCCGAGGTGTTCGGTGGGTCCGACCGACCTGTCAGGTCCAGACCGACCTGTCAGGTCGTTAACCCGAGCTCCCCACGTCACACCCATTGGGCCACGTAGGGATGGGGGGACTGCTTGAGTTCGAAAGAATGCACGTCAGGGCTGAAAAGGATCGGGACTGAATGGGCTGGGACTGGACTGATGTGGGGGATGTGTCTGCATGCGTCCCAGCGCCCATGAACTCGATGCGAAAAAGAAGAAGGGCGTAAGACAATCAAAGAAAGTCTTAGATGGGTCATGTCACCAGAGTCAACCATCTTCCAAATATATCGTGATGGTATACGACAAACATATGAATTTGATGATGACACTGCTGCTGATGATGATGATGATGATGAGGAGGATGATGATGATGATGATGATGACGACGACGACGATGACCATGACAATGATGATATCAAATGATAGACAAACACGGGCTACTGCAAATATTAGGTTTATGAGTTAGGCAAGAATCGTTGCCATTGACAATGGAGGATCAGTCTAAGGTCATCATCTCAATAAGAAGTAGGACAAACATCAATATCACCATTATCACTATTGGAAACAGGTGCTAGTTACTAGTTTCCTGGGAGTGTAGGTCATACACTCTTGCTCAATCGGAAAAAACATCTGGGGTGCTCAGTCAATTGATGTAACACGTCTACCTCCGGCATTTGCGACTCAATTATTACAACAACACCAGCAAATGCGCCCAGTCATTTCCTGCTGAATCTCTTCCCTTCTATCATAGTTCTATCAGGTGTGCCACGCACTTTGGGTTCTGCATGTTTGCCCACCCTGACTGCACGCCTCTCTGTACAGTAGCTTCCTTCGAGCGGTCTTCACGCGAAGGGATGAGGAGATCGCTCTTGGTGTCTCCTTTGCCCAGATCGTTCTGACCACGCGCGAGGGGGCAACGGTCATGGATGGTAGTGACAGGTAGCGGAAGTGCTGCTGTGCTGCTACCGGTGGTGCTGGTGGCAGTGGCAGTGGCAGTGGCGGTGGCGGTGGCGGTGGGGGTGGTGGTGGTGGACAACCCCAGCAAATTGCACCATCGATGCCTCGTTGGGCTGAAGTTCAACCACGACTGGTCATCGACGATTCTGCTTGCAAACCTGACGAATGGACCAATCAAGGCACCTCCCATGATGTTGTTGTTGTCCTGGCAAACCCTCCCTAGAAACAATCATGGTTTTGTGGAATACAGCCTGTTCGTGGAGGAAAACAGTTCCAAGGGGACATGTTCCACTTCCATGTTTGTTGGGTGGAGGATATAGTGTTAATTCTTTGATATGTTCTCTCTGCTCAAATCCTGCATGGGGATCACACCAGGAGAATCGAAGCTTCCATATTGAAATCATTGAAGAACTTCTTGGATCTGACCATGCACGAGTGGACTCCCAGGCTGTTTACGGTATGTCAACCTCTCAGTGTCGACGGTCTAGCCATGAATACCAGCACCCCAGTCCTGTCGCAACGGCAGCTTCAGCGGCAGCTTCAGCAGGAGCTTCAGCGGCAGCTTGAGGTGCGAGACCTTGGCAAAAGCGGCAAAACGCGGCCTCAATCAATTGCCTGCTCATGTAGCAAAAGCACAACAAAACGGTTACACCATTTCACAAGGATGTCCATTCCTGTTTTCCTCTGTACTTGGTGACCCAAGTATAGAACAACTGCAACTGCAGCCTTCTTTGCCCTTCCACTCACGACCTGTCGTCCAAAGGATGGCTGCATGTGGATGCTGGAGACGTTTTACGTCCTTAAGACTAAAATAGATGAACAGCATCATGGACGAAGGTTTGCATGCTGCCTGGGAAGGCCATGTTTCTGTCCAAGCAAAGTCTCTGTGTGTGAAGATCTGCTGGAACGAAGCTGCATGTACCATCCTGCGATCCTGGAATGGGACAGGATCCGCCATTAAGTCCGGGTGGTTTAACCTCTCCTCTTCAACGTCCAGGCTGATTATGGCTTTTCCTATCCAGGAAGCCCTGCTGAAAACGATGGATGGATGAAAACGCTCACAGTCCCGAGGATTCCGACCACACCATGCAGATGGGAAACACAGGGAACATCCATCCTGGTCACCTATGGTCTCTCACGCAGATGGGCGTCCTCATCTGAAACCCGACCCTTTCCCGTCTGAAACCAGCCCTAGACACCTGGTGCCTCGGCTGAGCTTGCAGAGCTTGTTGCAGCTCCCTCGCCAAGGAGCTCATTCAGGAGGAGAATTTGACAACCCAACTTCGATTTGCTTCAGATAGGAAGCAAACCCAAGCCAAAGTTGGGTACTAGTGCACAACATTAGTTGGGATTATCTGGAAGGTTCATGCAGGTACACCATACTCTTCTCCCAAAGCGATCCGAATTCTTGAACGCACTTGTTGGCCGGTCTCCCCAACTCCCCCATCGAACCCTGTCACCTTCCCCACATCGAACCCTGTCACCTAATCTTAATTGACAATAATTAAGATTCAGATTCAGATCAAAGAAACTTCACTTAATTCTTACCCGCTTCACATCTTTCACATAATCTTCCCAACCAGTTCGCCTCCCCATCACCCATCCTCGCTCCCCTCATTCCCCATGGACTCCATCCTACATGTTTTCCGCCGCCCGGACTTCCGCACCTTCCGCCGGAAAGGTCTCCAAACGCTCTTCACCGCCTTCCCGGCGGAGGCCACCGTGCCCATGCTCCGGGCCTGAGCTTCAACCGGCCGAGCTTTGGATCCTTCGCACCGGGCGTGTGCACCGGGCGTGTGCACCGTTGGGTGTTCAAGAGGTGACGAAGCCGGTCCTCGTTGGGCCAAGGATGGCCAAGGGGGGGGTGGTCCTTCATGGCATTGGATGAAGTTCTAGTTCGTATCGAATCGCAAAATCCTATAGATCATGACTCATGACTTGAGGCTCAACAGCCCCAAAATTGCAACAGCTGGGTCCCTGGCCAGGTCATTAACCACGGCGTGAGGTGTCCATGGGCTCTAAGCTTAGTGATATATAGATGTTTTTGGGTAAAAGGCATCGTTGTCGATTGCGTATTGGGCATATTTTTTTTGACACACCATTGAATCTCATTGCAAATTCTTCGCTTCTTGCTCAAGGTTTACGATCTTTAGCGAGTGCTGAGGACTCTCCGCCAACAGCTATGCAGGTTACAGCATGTTACAGCAATGCATCGCTTTGCCTCAAGCCCCAACAAACAACTTGACCCGTAAAACCATGAAGGAGGCTGACATATATGTCCAGATATTGTCTAAGCGATATTCCTTGCCGTTGCGGCTTCTACAGCCCAAGGCACACACGCCAGTCTGGACGAGCCAAAATTCAATCAGACCAAACGGATGTTCATCTCTCGGCTGGAGATTTGGCACTATAGGCATACTGAGTCATACCACATCTTTTGGCCACATGCATAGGCCATAGGCCATCAATGGCCATCATGAGCCATGCCATCATGATCCATATTGCATCATCATATGCTTCAGAATACAAGCAATCCACCTTTGCAGGTCTTGGCTGATCTCTTGAAACGCTGGCACTCCTTTTCGTACCCGCCATGTTGATCATCTGCGCGCCTGTCATCACGGCCTTCGCGCGGGACCACGCGATGTGGGCCCTGGCTTCGCCCTTGGCTTCGGCCCGTTCGCCAGTTAGATCCCATCTCACGCGCCCGAGACTGGCACATCTACCGATCAGTTGGGGTGTTTTCGAACAAGGGGTCCGTCTGGAGCGGAACATCTCGTCCAATTGATGAAGTTAGGGCATGTCAAGAACGGTGCAACGAGAATAGGCCGTGACCTGTAGACTGGTACAACACACATGATTTGAACATAGCTGAACTGTAAAGGGAAAGGGCGGTAAAGGGCAAATAAACTAACACTCATTGTCTTCTGTCCGAACGAATGCATCGAACATCATCATCGAACGCCTCCCTAAACCGGCCCCCCCCAAAACACGGTTTTTGTGACGGTGGGTACGAGGGGAACTGGAACCAGAAGTCCTTCTGGTGCGGAACACTGTGAACGTTGATTACATTTTCTTTGGCCAAAACCGGTACAGTAGGCTCCTGCAACTCCCTTGATCCTGCCTCAAGATTTGGCCGGCACCAGAATCCTTGGGCGATCCAACGAGACCGCGACGAGAACCCAACGCGCGGTCGGGACGCCTAAAAGGTCGCCCTATATTTTACTATATTTTACTAACTCAAGTAGCAGAAAACAGGCAGGTTTTGATGTTTTTTTGTACTGACCCTGAAACACTGGAAGGATCTGGAAGGTAGGCAAGTTCCTCGCCATACGATTGCCACAACCAACTGTTCGATCCTTTTGTCCTCAAGGCCTGCACGTCATGTCCCTGCACGTCATGCCCCAAACCATCCCAAATCGTGGCAAACTCCATCCAGACCAGCCAAACCCCTACGGCTTCGTTTCAGCATCCATCCTTCCCCACTGGGTCCCCCGAACGCGAAGACCGCCGTGAAGCCATGCAGCGACATGGGGCGCACCTGGAGCTGAGATCATCTAGCAGCACCACAGGTTGGTGGGTAGACTCGACCCCCCATGACCCCCCTATAATTGGCTTAAACCATCCATTCAATTGCCATCGAAGTCTGAAATATTACACTGTTTTTGCTTTGGATTGAGGTTGTCTTTGTGGATCGGATAGACGCACAGGTTGGCATTATAAAGGCGTGTTCACCCAGAGTCTGTTGGACACCTTCACACCGACCACACCTTCACACCGACCACACCGTCCACGGCTCGCTGGGCACATGTGCCGTTGGTTCTCCACCCACCCGTCCACTGACCCTGCTCTGCATGTGTTGCTGCTCCTGGGGTGGGCTGCGCCTCATCTCGGGAGGCCAACTCCTCACTGGGCTTTGTGAGGCCCGGCGCTCCCAGCTCGCCGTTGCAGAAGAAGCCTGTCACACGCCTGGGCGGAAGAAGGGAAGAATACCTCGGTGCTTCTTTTCCTTGGGAGTCCAAGACCAACCGACCTTGGCTCGTTGGGACACGGCCTGAACCTTTGAACTGGTCTGACTCGGCGACCCGTCTGACCCGTTAGTGAACTGGCATGTCCTGGAAACGGTGTGAATCCGCGTCGACGTCCTTTACGTCGCCTGGCGTCTGAAGAAGCGGTGCTTTCCCAGAGTTTTGGAAGTAAATCCACGAAGCGAAGAAACAGTGTTTTTTTGTGTGCGTGTGTGTCTCTTTTTGAGATGCGTCTGAAGATGCAAGGTATAGTATGTGCAGTGCTTCAAGTTACTTCTTGCTGGTGAGCGAAGAAGAACCCAATCATAATAATCATCATCGAAATGACAACAAGCTTGCACAAAACTCAGCACACATGGATTTTGATTCAGGTTGATAGTTGTTATTTGTTGATTTTGTTGCATGTTTGTAGAAGCATGTAGAAGCACATTGGAATTTTGAGATCCCAGATACTAGTAGGACTACTAGTAGGATGGGTTCGAATGGGTTTGTCCACATGAATCCGCACCCGTGCCTTTTTCGGCCATGTCCTGTTCTTGACCCACCATCTCACCTCCTGTGGTTCCTTCTCGGCGCCCAGGCGAGCCCAGGTCGCCCAGTGCCTCTTGCAAGGCGCGGGCGTCCACATGGCGTCGGCCGTAGAGGTTCTGGCGTGCCAAGATGGTCACCCCCGTCCACGGGCTCCGAACCAGGGCCACCGTGACTCACATGGAGCCTTTGGCCACGGGTTAGAGGAAAACGGGTCCGTCCAAGAGTGCCATATGGTGCCAAGGGTACCATGTTCGTTTGGAGTGTAACAGGAGCAATGAATGGACCCAGGGGGTCCCAGGATATGAGTGGGGAGACCGCTCTCGCAAGAGACCTGAGGAGATCGACCGTGGAGGAACCCACTGGGGGTCGGCAACGCCTGGGAGGTCTTCCTATTTGAATACACACTAATACCCAAACAGTCCATGTATGGAACATATGCCAATCAGTTGGGGTGGTGCCAGGGGGGTCAATGCAAGCATATATATGGCACACATGGAGTGTCTGGGATATGCAGCTAATTTAGTGACTACTAATTCTAACTATATATAATTATATAGTGAAAGGTTGTTGGAGGGTCAGTTTCCCCGAACATGCACAGGTGAAGTCATGACGTAAAAAAACAAACACATGCCGGTAACCAGGATGTTTTGCTCAGCATCCTCATGCATCCTCTGAGATTCGATTTTGATTCCGTGACCACCGCCGCAGTTGACCCACGAATCAACTGACCAAAATCACTAGAACGATTTAAAAGAAGGAAAGGCTCATGATCGTTCATGATCAGATTGGCGGTCCTGCACGGAACCTGGACATTTCAGGACCGAACCTGTTTCACTGGGCCGAGGTAGGCCTACCTCCTTCGCTGCATCGCTGCATCACGTCGTGATACATCCCGCCTCCCCCCGTCCATTGCAGGTGAAGAGCAAGCATCCCAAGGGCTCCTGGGCGCAGTGAACCTCCGGTCACTCTTCCAGCGACTCTTCTGAAAGCCCGCAGGTCTGGGGACGTTTGTTGTGCTGCTTTGGATGCGCAGTTATAACACCTCTTTCCCTGGATTCACGGAGGTTCTTTGGGGTGCAAAAAAGGTGTTCCCACTGCGCCACTCGTTTCCCCGGGCCTGGCCCCCGCTGAAGCTCCGCTCCAGCCTGCCGGCTTCGGGCGGAGCTTCCCAGCCCGCCCAGGAGCGCCAGGCAGTCCGGACTGCAGTTTTTAGTCGAAAGTCAACCTCTGATGTTTCAAGGGGTCCTCCTCCCCCTGAATATTATAACCGTTATATTTGTTCATCGTACAGCACGTGATACACTGGTGGATTTTTAGATACCACACTGAATCCTTTGATCTTTTCCTTACAGTAGCATTCGCTAAAATGTGCTGCCAAGCACTGCTTCATCGGCCAGGTGTTTCTTGGTGCTGTGGCCGGCCCAAATCGATCGATCGGAGCTTCGGAGCTTCGGCCTGTAGCGGTTCAGCATCAACTTGAGATCTGCCTCGAGGGCCCGAGTTGTGGCCGAGAGCTTTTTTGGGCCGAGAGTGAATCAGGAGATGATTCGTTTTGCGCCCATGTCATGACCAGGAGACGGCCTCATAGGATTCGATAAAGGATGTCAATGAGGAGAACATAAATAAAGGGTCACAAAGTAGGGACTCCCAAAACACCACCTGCCGGAAGAAACGCTTCTGAAAGAGAGTCCTTTGTCTCGATGACATGAACAAATTACCACAGCGTGCACACTTTCTTCTTTTGAACCACTTCTCCACTGCCTAAGCTCCAAAACATACACCACACATTTGCTTGAACCAGGCATCTGTGGCACCTGTCCACCCACCCACCCGCCCACCCACCTACCCACTTACCTACCCACCTACCCAGCCACCCACCGATCTACAGCCGCTCGTCTCACCCGCTGGTCTCAGCACCTCCGCAGACTCCTTGTCCCTCACGTGGAAGCGCAAGGCTTGGCCCTGCAGTGACGTGGTCCAGGCCCGCTGCGTGCTCGGGAGAAAAGAATTGGCATGAGATTCGCCTAAAAACTGTACATACTCTGGCTCACTAAGATGGAAGTGGAACATAGGGTTCTGGAAGAGCAGTTTGCTCGACGAAGGAAAGGGGGTGTCATCCACTTCCATGTAAGTAGGTCGGAGAGTGGCTCCTGGCGCTGAGTTTGAATTCAGGGCTCTTGAGTCCTTGCCCTGAGATGGAAAGCATGGGGCAAGTGAGATGTAAATATGAGCAGGCCTTTTGACAGAAGGATATTGCATGCGCATTCGCATTGCTTGGCGCCGCACAGAGGCGCCTTGCAAGGCCTTTGCTCGTGTTTATACGGCCAACATCCTCAAGAGTGCCACAACACGTGAGCCACTCACGCTCTGCCAGCCCAAGCTTTCGGTATTCTCGTGCAAAGATGTGACAGCTTCGCATGAGCAAATTAAGATATGAAACAAAAACACATCGACCATACGACGTCAACTGTTTCATCTGCACAGGCGA